CACACACACACACACACACACACACACACACACACACACACACACACACACACACACAGGTCTTTATAGTCCACTATGAGAAAACATTTGCTGGCAGAAAATGGCGAGCTGCACAGCTGTCCCAACACTGAATTTTACATTAACCAGGTGGGCATGTGGCCTTCACTTTGTGGGGTCCTGCTGCAGAATGTCTCTGCAGTTTAGTCACCAGGAAATTTTTTTCATTTTTTATTTTTTTTACTTGTTGAGGTTTTGTCTATTATACTAGCAACACAAAGTGATCAAGTTTGCATGGTGTAAAAAAACTATGTTCAGTTAGCAAATATGAAAAGACTGATCAGAATGTTTTGAGGACTGAAAATAAAATCTGTCAGGGATGTTCTTATGTTGGCACTTTGCTCTTCCGTATCGTGCCATAACAATACACTCAAAAGTTCCCAGTTGTGCATATTTGGCCATTTAAATGACACTTTCAGACAGACATTCAGTTGCTCAAAAGCTTCTTTGGTCCCCATGTTTGAGTTTGTTAATTTTGTGCACCTTTTCTGTGCAGAAAAACAAACAAAATTGGTGAAAAACTTGGTAGATCTGTAAAATATGCTTTTTAAAACACAAAATAAAATGTAAACTTAAAAAGAAAAAAAAAAAGAAAAACAACCCTGTAGAAGAGAACACTCTTTTGAAACAAGCAAAACTGTAAAACTGCTTTCCCATGACACGTGTGCAGTCTGTAAAGTAGAGGAGATGCTAACGGAGACATGGTAAATGTGTAGCAAGAAAACCTTGATCACAGGTTTAGAAAAACGTTGTCATTTTTGCTGTTTTTTTATTTTATTTTGAAAGGGTGGTCCATCTGGGTGGATGAGTGTAGGCAGGCTGGAAAGTGTTGAACTGAGAGGAAGAGTACAAAGGTCTGTGTTCAAAGTTTAACTCAAACACCCTTTCTTCCCTCCTTTTTTTTGTTGCAGCCTGTTGTTGTAGGGATGTTAGCGTTGGATAAGAGGATATTTCAGTGAAAAACGTCTGTTCTGTCAGATTGAACAAATGGAACTTGTGACCAGCACTTCACTGCCCTTTGATAGCATGTACTAAGCTGTCCTAACAGAACATTTTTCTTAAAGATTTGCTTTCTTAGTGTGCTTTCATCAGTATTTAATAACACAAGCAGAAACTTGGGTGTATACAATGCCAACTGGTTTACAAATGGAGAGTAAAAATGGAAAAATCTTTGTACTGAGCCTTGAGTCGATCAATTCTTCCTGTCTTTACTGTGAGAACACCTTTCAGAGAGAAAAGCTCTTCAGATTCACCAAGGCTCTGGTTGAGCATTCACACCATGGTGGCGAGCTTTATCTAAGAATATTATCCCTGTTCTTTGTCAAACTGATGCTTTATCGATCATGAAAAACAAGTTACAGCTTTGTAGCTTTGACAGTTGTAAGAAAATACATAAATTCTAGCTGGAGGCTGAATAATACCATGGTGGACTGTTAAAGAAGCCAAATTTGGAATATCTGTCTGAAAATTCAAGAGTTTTAAGTTCCTAGAATTGTGTCTGCTTGTGTAAAATCTCATCTCTTACATTTTAGAATATCTGTCAGGTTTATAAAACCCACCATAAATCCTCCTATCAGTTCAGTTTAAGGCTCTTTTCTTCCTTGCCCAATGAGCTGCAAGTAGCTGCAGCTTTCTGGTACCCACCTTGTAACTCATTGTTGCAGACTCTGCCCTTGGCTCAGTATGATTTATATGGAAAATTACACCCGAAGAACAAAAGTTGAAGCCCTTTTTGTATCTTGCATCCAAAATGATTGCACCTTGTTTTGAGCTTTAACAGCAATAGTTCTTCCAACTTTCTGCACAAGAAAGCAAAGACGTAACATTTTTTTCAATAAAGAAAATGACGATTAATGCAACTTCATTGGTTCACGACTCTCTAAATGACTCATAATCCAGTTAAACACAAACAACATGGTGATTGGGCTTAGACAAGACTAAAATCTTAATGATGCAGGTTATGTCACAGAAAGAAGCAAGTTACAAAATATAGCCAAATACTGTATTAACGTGGCTAAATTCTGCTTTTGACTAGAGGATCTCTGCCTAAATCTGCTTGCTTTTTGTGTTTTCCAGGGCATAATGCATGCAATTATCTCAAAACTATTGTGCCAATTTAAAATTAGATGACTATGGAAACTTCAAAATGTCTGTTAGTGGTTACTGGATCATAAAATGCTAAACTGCATTGCTAGAAGGAAGTGAAGCATAATTGAAAGCAAATTATAATAGACTCAAGTCATTTTTTTCTCCAGTACAAATTACTGCCCAAACTTCTGAGCTCTTTAAATAATTATTTCTTGTAAAATAATATTTGACTCATCCAACTTATAAAACTGTTTCACAGAATGATCTGTTTTGTTCAATCTGTTCCCAGCAAACTTCAGCTCTCATGTGATTTCTGTCTCCTTGCAACAGGTTAAAGCATCCCTTGAAGAACAAGCCTTCTCTGAAGCCTGGGGGTTCAAGGCCAAGGAGGTCTTTTCTGACAAACTTCTTGAGTCTCTCCCAAACCCTGAAGACAAGAAATTGATGGAAAATATCAAGGTGCTGGGTCCTGCCAACCTCCCACAGGCTGAAAGAGAAGAGGTTTGATTTTAGTTTGTAAGAAGTTTGCATTAAAGTGATGCACGTCATCTCTGTTGGCTTTTTAAGAACATCAGAAATGTTTGTCCTTATCTGTAGTTCAACACCATCCTCAGCACCATGGACAGTATTTATTCCACCGCTAAAGTACACCCTCAGCCAAACATCAGCTGGAGCCTGGAACCTGGTGAGTACTGTAAATGGCAATGAATAAATGCTTGGTTTAAAGAGCAAGATCCATGAATTGTATAAATGTTTTTAAAAGTTCAGCGTTTTTGTGGTAGTGTTGTGGAACAGGAAATGAACAGTGTCCTGGGAGTCCTGGAATCAAAACAGCTTTAAGTGGTTTAGATGTTATCGGTTCTCGTTAGTAACGGAACAGACAATTAAGCGGTTCCAAAGGAAGTGCTATGGATGTTTCCAAGAGTGCTGTATAGAAACACAGGCGAAACATTGCGTTGAAATCATTGGGAACAATAGTCTTTTGTGTTTTGAGCTACAAACTGCTTAATGAATTTGTGAGAGACTCCTGTCAGCACGCCCAGAACAACAAACAATGGCTTCTGCGAAAAATGCTCATAAACTGAAATGAGCTCATTACTGGTCAAGTAAAACCACCAGAATATTTACTGGTTTTTCCATTATGAAGACGATCCAAAAGGAAACAGTTATCCAGAAGTGACCATTTCAACCTTTGGCTTTTTTCACATTTTAACTTTTATCATGAAGCTCATGTTTTGTTTTTCACATTTGAGCAAAAATGTTTGTCTTGCAGAAATCACAGAAATCATGGCTAGCTCCAGAAGCTACAAGCAGCTGCTGTTTGCTTGGGAAGGTTGGCACAATGCATCAGGTGTGCCTCTGAAACAGTATTATCCCAGATTTGTGGAGCTCAGCAACAAAGCAGCACGAGCCGATGGTGAGATTGACCCCTTGATCCTTTAGACTCTGAAGTCTAAAGGGTACTGTATATAAAGGGTATATAATAATATATTCTAAAGTTTCAAAAAATGGAAAGAATGACAGAAATGACTGAAGAGAAAACCTCTTTCTTTAGGATTTGAAGACACTGGAGCTTATTGGCGCTCTTGGTATGAAATAAACACATTTGAGCAGGATATAGAAAAGCTCTATAAGACCATCGAGCCCCTCTATCTGAACCTGCATGCCTTTGTGCGCCGCAAGCTTTACAACTTCTACGGTTCCAAGTACATCAATCTAAAAGGACCAATCCCTGCCCACCTTTTGGGTAAGTTGTATGCATTTCTTATCCACTAAACTTTTTAAAGGAGTTTAGAAACTGAAATACAAATTGAGTAATTTTTAAGTTCAAGTATTTAAATCCCCTCTTCATAAACATGTCCAAGACAATGGAAGCACAGGGGGTCATAAGACAAAGCAGTGAATAAACATTCTGTATGAAGGCATTTCCTTCAGAGTTCAGTGTAAGGCTGTTTATAATGTTTCCATCCTCAGGAAACATGTGGGCCCAGACTTGGAACAACATTTATGATATGATGATCCCGTTTCCTGAGAAACCCAACCTGGATGTGACTGAAGAAATGGTCAAACAAGTGAGTGTGTCCAGACTTCTCTTTATGCTACTGAAGTAGTGGGGCAGGATTAATTCTGTTTTAGATGATTTTGACTTGTTGAATGGTCTTCCTCAGGGCTACAATGCGACTCACATGTTCCGTGTGGCAGAGGAGTTCTTCACATCTCTGGGTTTAGCAGAGATGCCCAGAGAGTTCTGGGAAGAATCTATGCTCGTTAAACCCGATGGCCGAGAAGTCGTGTGTCATGCATCAGCTTGGGACTTTTACAACCGCAAAGATTTCAGGTAGTAATTGAAGCTCTTCTTGTTACGATTTTAAATCCAGGGGTTTTAATGTTTGAAGTTCTTCAGGATTAAACAGTGCACCACAGTGACGATGGAACAACTCGCCACTGTTCACCACGAAATGGGGCACATCCAGTATTACCTGCAATACAAGGACCAGCCTGTGGGCTTCCGCCGCGGAGCAAACCCTGGTTTCCATGAAGCTGTTGGTGACGTCATGTCACTCTCAGTTTCCACACCAACCCATCTGCACAAAATCAATCTGCTGGAGTCTGTGACATCCGATGCTGGTAATATCATAAAATATCACTCAGCTTAATAAGAATGAAGCGGCAACATGTTCAAAGTTCTGGTAATTTTCTTCAGAAACTGATCTCAACTACTTATTGAAGATGGCTCTGGAGAAGATAGCCTTCCTTCCTTTCGGCTACCTCATTGACCTCTGGAGATGGGGTGTGTTTCGCGGAAGCACCCCTCCAGACAAGTACAACTCTGAGTGGTGGTACCTCAGGTGGGACAATATGCAAACACAAATTATTTTATATCTGTATACACTTGAATATAACCCCACTGTGTAAAACATAAAAAACAATATGCAAATATTCACTCATTTTGAATTTGATGCCTACATGTTCTAAAGAAGCTGTGATAGGGATATGTTTACCACTGTGTTACACCACAGCACTCAATCACTCAATACGCATTTAAGAACTGAGAACACTAATTGTTAAAGCTTTGTTAGTGGATTTTTTTTTCCATGCTTGGTTTATGAACAACTTCAGTTGCTCAACAGTTCAGGATCTCCATAGTTGTATATTGTGCTTCATAATGCTCCACATATTTTCAGTGGGAGACAGGTTTGGACTGCCGGCAGGCCAGTATCCGCACTCTTAAACTAAGACAAGCTGTTGTAACACTTGCAGAATGTGGTTTGTTGTCTTTTTGAAATAAACAGGATGTCCCTGAAAAACAAGTGGCTTGGATGGCAGCATATTTTGCTCCAAAACTTGTAGCTTTCAGTGTTAATGGTGCCTTCACAGATGTGCAAATTACCCATGCCATGAGCACTAACATCCCCCTATACCATCAGAGATGCTGCCGTTTGAACTTTGCGCTGAGAACAATCCAAACAGTCCTTTTCCTCTTTGGCCCAGAAGACACGCTGTCCATGATTTCCAAAAACAATTTTAAATGTGGACTCGTCAGACCACAGGACACTTTTCCACTTTGTCAGTCCATCTCAGACGAGCTTGGACCCAGAGAAGCTAGCAGCGTTTCTGGGTGTTGTTGATCTATAGCTTTGACTTTGCATGGTAGAGTTTTAACTTGCACTCATAGATGTAGATAGAGACAAACTGTGTTCACCGACAATGGTTGTCAGACATGTACCTGAGGCCATGTGGTAATATCTGTTTCAGAATGATGTCGGTTTTTAATGCAGTGCCTCCTGATGGATCAAAGGTCACGGGCATTCAGTGTTAGTGTTTGGTCGTGCCACTTACTTGCAGAGATTTGTCCAGATTCTCTGAATCTTTTGATGATGTTATGGACTGTAGATGATGAAATGCCTAAATTGCTAGCAACTGTATCGAGAAACGTTATTCCCAAATTATTGGACTATTTGCTCACACAGTTGTTCAAAAAGTGGTGAACCTCACCCCATCCTTGCTTGTGAATGACTGAGCCTTTCTGGGATGCTCTTTTGGTACACAGTCGTGAAACTCACCTGTTTCCAATTAGCCTGTTGAACTGTGGAATGCTCCAAACAAGTGTTTGAAGGGGTCAATTTAAGAATGAGTGAAAAAACTAATGAAGTTTATCCATTTGAACATTAAATATCTTGTCTTTGTAGAGTATTCAATTGATTATTTAATTTGAAAAGGATTTGCAAATCATCATCTGTTTTTATTTGTTTTACACAACATCCCGATTGGAATTTGGGTTATAATTTAACATGGTGTTGCTAACTTATGACATTGTTTTAATATTTGACAGAACAAAATACCAAGGGATTTGCCCACCCACCAGACGTACAGATGAGCACTTTGATCCTGGTGCAAAATATCATATCCCTGGAAACACCCCATACATCAGGTACTGTCCTTCTGCCACCACAACTGCAAAAAAATAAATAAAAAATAAAAAACACCAAAAAATGATATTATGGCGTGTTTAATCTGATACATGTTAAAGATTTGATTGTTAACCAGAATTTTCTCAACTTTGTGCATTATGTGCTAAACATTATAGTATTGCAGACGAATGTTCTCCCTCACACACATCAGTTTTTTTGCATAGATGCCTGAAATGTACAATGTTTAAAGGGGGCTATTTAAGTCAGACTGAGTATGTATGACTGTTTTTATTTTAACACTATACACTTGCCCTACAATGAGAGGAAGCCTGTGACAGGCCAAGGCAGAGGTTTGGTTACATCAGTTGGTTTCTCTTCACTAAAGAAACAAAAGTAGTCGACATGACAAAACATAGCCTTTGAATTAATTTTCTTTCCCCCCCTCTCTTTCATGCAGGTATTTTGTCAGCTTCATCCTGCAGTTCCAGTTTCATGAGAAACTATGCCAGGCTGCTAAACACACAGGCCCCCTGCACACATGTGACATCTACCAATCTGCAGAGGCAGGAGCCATTCTACAGTATGTCAGCTAACTAAACCTGTTTACTACATAGCATAAATAATGGGTTTAATTATTGTTTTTTTTTTTACTTCCCAAGGAAAGTTCTTCAGGCCGGCTCTTCCAAACCTTGGCCTGATGTGCTTGAGGAGGCTATAGGCACCAGGGAGATGAGTGCCACCTCACTGATGAAATACTTTGAGCCTGTAACCAAGTGGCTGGAGGAACAAAATAAGAATGAGACCTTGGGATGGCCTGAATTCAGTTGGGTTCCACCCATTCCTGAGGGCTACCCTGAAGATATTGGTAAGGATTAAATGAGAAGTTTTATTAGTGGCTTATCACTTACAGTTTACTGACTTAACTCCTCTGTTTTTACTTAGACAAGAATACAGATGAGCAGGATGCAAAGAAATTTCTAGAAGAGTATAACAGCACAGCTGAAGTGGTGTGGAATGCATACACCGAGGCCTCTTGGACGTACAACACTAACATCACAGAAGCTAATAAAGAGGCCATGGTGAATGTTACTCAAGAAAATAATCCAATGCAATGACAAACTTGTCATTATTTATTTTCCTTTTCACCTGCACACCATATGATTTCTACACAACTTCAGACTCACCTCCTGCCCCTTCATATTAAAAGACTGAACACATAATAAACCAATGTCTCTTTTAACAATTGAACAATTCTCTAATGGCTTCATTGGAGACGTCCTTATCCACTTCATTGTTCTAATTTTAAATATTGCATCAAGACATAAAATCAATAAAGCAATTACTGACTGATTACTTGTTGTATATATATTTTCTAACAAACCCATGTAATTTGCGAATTTCAGTTTAATATGCATGCTCTCAAATAATTGAAACTTGTATCTAACAAAACATTAAGTTGGAAGATTTGTTAAACTGAAAATGCAGAATATCCATTGTTATATCTCTAGCTTAAGAAGAACCTGGAGATGTCGAAACACACCTTAGACTATGGGCTGAAGGCTCGCAAGTATGATACCTCTGACTTCCAGGATCCCTCAGTCAAACGTATAATTGAAAAACTCAGCGACATTGAGAGGGCTGCACTGCCTTCAGCAGAACTGGAGGAGGTAAGAATAAAAATGAGTTTCATATGTGCAAATGTGTATGCGGAAACATCTGACACACAGATGCTAGCACAACTGAACTGCCTTGTGTGTGTGTATGTGTGTGTGTGTTTTAACCACTGCTGTGAGTGCAAACGTGTTGTTCTATAAATATCTAGATTGTTGCATTTGTGTTGAATTTCAGAAAATCTTGTTTGTATTAAAGGCTCAACATTCACAGATGTCTTTTGGAGCATTATCAAAACTGCTGATTCCCGGATCAGTTTAAAACCTTGAAATGTACTTGAAGGTGTTATAAGTAACATTTTTACAAACAGATTTACCTACATAAATGGAAACAGAGCTGCCTTTTTTTAAAATGAGAAAATAATGAACACAAACTAGTTGTGGGGGGAGGCAAAGCAGGCTAATTTTAAGCCTTTAAAGTGTAACTTACCCCCAAGGATAACTC